GGGCACGCGCCCTCGTCCTCTCGCCCACCCGTGAGCTGGCCCTGCAGACCCTCAAGTTCACCAAGGAGGTACGAGGGACAACGGGGGCGAGTGGGGACAATGGGGACAACAGGGGCGAGGGGTTTGGTTCTAACACCCCCCCTGATGTGTTTCTTTCTCACCCTGCAGCTGGGCAAATTCACGGGCTTGAAGACAGCTTTGATCCTGGGAGGAGACAAGTAAGCTGTCCCCATGTCCCCGCCGGTCCCCGCTTCCCTAAAGCCTCCCCAAAACCCGGTGAGGGGCTGAGCTGCCCCGTGCCACCCCAGCCTCTCTCCCCTCTCGCAGGATGGAGGACCAGTTCGCCGCCCTGCATGAGAACCCCGACATGTGAGTAGGGGTACGGGGAGGAGACCTGGTGGGGAAATGGCCCCCGAGAGCCACCTCCTATCCAGGGACATCATCCAGTGTGCCCGATGGATGTGTCCTGATGTTCCTGGGAGCATCTCCCCATGCTCCCTGTGGGGGACGAGGAGATCTCCATCGGGTCTTCCTTGGGTCGGATTTGGGACCTGCACCCGAGGTGGTCCAGGGACACTGTCCTCCGTTCCTGTCACCAGCTCTGTCCCCACAGAATCATTGCCACCCCCGGGCGCCTGGTGCACGTGGCGGTGGAGATGAAACTGAAGCTGCACACCGTGGAGTACGTGGTGTTCGACGAGGCTGACAGGTCAGCGGGGTCCCCGGGGGTCCCCGGGGCTGGCCATGTCCCCACACGTGGGGTGAGGTGCCCTGGGAGGTGGCAGAGCTGGGCACGGAGGGACCAAACAGGCACTGCCATGTGCCCTGTCCCCTCCCCTGCAGGCTCTTTGAGATGGGTTTCGCTGAGCAGCTCCAGGAGATCATCGCCCGGCTCCCGGACTGCCACCAGACCGTCCTCTTCTCCGCCACGCTGCCCAAGCTGCTCGTCGAGTTTGCTCGGGCCGGTGAGGAGCGTGGGGCAGACGGCGGCTGGAGGGCTGGACCTGGGGGGAGCCTGGAGACGGGGACACGGCGTGGTCCCGCAGCTGGGCTGAGCCCAGGACTGGCCAAAACGAGCTGGGTCGAGGCTTGTCCAAGCGGCCAAGGGGTGGGGCTGGTCCCAGTGGTGCATCCCACATGTGACCCGTGTCCCTCGTGTCACCGCATCCCACAGGTCTCACCGAGCCGATGCTGATCCGTCTGGATGTGGAGTCCAAGCTCAGCGAGCAGCTCAAGGTGAGAGGGGCCGAGGGGACTCGAGATGGGCTCTGCGCCCTCCGCAAGCCACCCTGCAGCAGCTCCAAGCTCGCGAGGAGGGGACAGGAGGGGTGGCGGTGTCTGGTGTGGGGACACAGAGGGGCTGAGCTCTGCCCTCCCTTTGCAGCTGGCTTTCTTCCACGTGCGTGGGGATGACAAACCGGCCGTGCTGCTCCACCTGCTCCGGAACGTGGTGAAGCCCCAGGACCAGACGGTTGTCTTTGTGGCCACCAAGCACCACACAGAGTATCTGAAGGAGGCAAGTGGCATTTGGGGGTGCCCAGCATGTACCCCTGTTAAAGGACAGGCTGCCATGCCAGGGGTGCCTAGGACCCCTTCCCAGACCCACGTGGGGTCTGCATCTGTGGGCACGTCCCTGCTGGAGTCTCTGCCCCTGTTTCACTGGGTTGAAGGAGAAATCCCAGCATATGTGATCGTGAAGGTGCTGCACCCACCTACCCTTCGGAGAGAGGGAGGAGTGCAGTGGGATTTGGGGGTCCGGGTGGGCACCCTGGGGTCTCAGGGCCCTGGGAGCAGGGGAGGGCCCTGTCTCTTGGCTGAGGTCACGTGCCTAGGTGGGATCTGAGCTCTCTTCCCCCCTCCCCAGCTGCTGACAGCCCAGGGCATCCGCTGCACACACATCTACAGCTCGCTGGACCAGACTGCCCGCAAGATCAACATTGCCAAGTTTGCCCAGAGCAAGTGCCCGGTGCTGCTGGTCACCGATGTGGCCGCCCGCGGGCTTGACATCCCCATGCTGGACAACGTCATCAACTATAGCTTCCCTGCCAAGGCCAAGCTGTTCCTGCATCGCGTCGGTGGGTGCCGGTGCCCCGTGCAAGGGTCCTTGTGACCTGGGGGTGACAGAGAGGGTGTGAGGGGGATGTCCCTTGTCCTCTGTTTTTCCCATCCCTATGGCCAGCTGGGCTGGCACTGATGCCCCTGACTCGGTGGTGATACCTTTGGGGCAGGAGGTTGGCGTGTTGTGACACCAGGGGAGAGGCTGGGGACAAAGCAGTGTCAGGAATGTCCCTGATCTCCCAGCTGGACTGCGGGGCTCTTGGGGGCAGGGCTGGTGCCTTCCCTTTAGGAGGGCATCGTGGTGGGCTCCCCTTTGTCCCCTTCCCCAGCAACCCAGAGCCCCTTGCCGGCCATGCCCACCAGGTAAATGTCACGTGTGTGGGTTCCCAGGGGCACCAGTGGGTCCCTGCTCGGGTGGGGGCAGGCTGGGCTGGCACTGGGTCTGATTTCCCACTCTCCTCCTCCCCTTGCCAGGTCGTGTGGCCCGAGCTGGCCGGAGCGGCACGGCCTACTCGCTGGTGGCTCCCGATGAGATGCCCTATGTCTTTGACCTCCACCTCTTCCTGGGGCACCCACTTGTCCTCGCCGGTGCCCAGGAGATGCCCGCTGGTAAGGCAGACCTGGCTGCAGGCATCAGTCATCGGGGTGGCCATAAGTCCAAGCCGGGAAACTGGCAATGTGGCCACTGTGATTTTATCCTTGGCCAGTGCTGGAGTTCTTCATCTTCTGCTTGGCGTTTGCACAGAGGGACGACACACTCTTATTACTGGGGTGTAGCTGGGGAAAATGGGGTGGTGCTGGGGGCTTTGACACACCCCGTGTGTCAGGGATGCTGATTTAACACCACCGAGCTCCCCATGGCTGTCAGCTCTGCTCTGTTAAACCCTGGATTGCTGCCATGCCCGCTGCAACAATTCCAGGGGGGTGCCGGTGAGGTGACGTGGTGTTCCCCGGGCTGCAGATGCCGGTGGGGTCCTGGGCCGCGTCCCCCACAGCTGGGCATCCACCCGCTCTTCAGTGAGTGCCTTGGGGATGCCGAGGGAGGGGACCCCATTCCCCTCGCCAAGGAGCTAATCCGTGCCCCTCTCTGCGCCCGCGTTCCCCAGGCGCTCGCTTTGAAGACACCGAGCTGGAGAGGCTGAAGTTCGTGGACAGCATTAAAACCTACAAGTCCAAGGCGGTGAGTTGAGAGCCGTCCTCGGGCACGAGGTGCCTGGGTTGGGGTGGGAGGGAAGGT